GCTTCCAAGACGGCGGCCGAAACGTGACCCTTGACCTCTCCCAAGTGCCCCCCTCCGAAGCAAGGGAGCAACTCCAGGACCTGATGTTTGGCTTGGTGGAGCGGATCCAGGCCCTGGAGAAACGCCTGCGGCAAGGTCCGGTTTGCACCGATTTGCAAAATATATATAGCCTGGCCGGATTAATTGCACGGAGCAGAAGCCGGCCCTCTGGGTGCTCTTAATTTTTTTATTTCTTAAAAAATTGAATTTTATGCATAAGAGAAACATTTTCCACTTCGCACTCATATCCATACATCAGAGAATATATCGGGATATATATATATATATATATATATATATATATATATATATATATACACACACACACACACACACACAAATATATATAGTAACATAAAAATAACTTCCTGTCCTCTAAATTTTGGATTATTTTAGTTCCATGTTTTACGTCCTTTTACTAAAAGATTATGCAGAATATTAAATGCAAATTTCCAAATAAATTTCCTTTAGGATAAAATACATTATTTAAAATTCTCCAGGTTGCAAAATTTTCCATATAGATTACCTTTAGGATAGAAGACATTTTTTAAAGTTTTGCAGATACTGAGAGAGTGGGTTAATTTTCCTTTCATTGATGATACGTTGCAGTTTTAATTTATAGAACTTTCTTTAGCGCGTTTTTAAAAGAAATTTCCCTTTCTTATGTGGCACCATTTTATCTCCTTTTGCTCATTGTTTTGATCTGGTTCGTTCCATGGGTTGCACAATTTTGGATCCAAATCTGTGCCCTTTTGCCGGTGTCCGAATGTGGGTTTTTGCAGCCCATTAACATGCTTCCAAGGCATTTCTGCAAAGTACTTGCAAATTTGCAAAGCAACAAAACATTGACTGCAACGAAGAATCTCGGCTGTGGTTTTCATTTATTGCAATCTTTTGCATTTTGGGCTGTGCCTCGTTTTTGGTCAGTTTCCTTGTATCCTAATTTTGGGACAAAGGCAGGACATGGCTCAAATAAATCGATATTTCTCTTCCTTGCAGAAGGTTCAGCTTCTGCCGCTCCGTCGCCGGTCAGCAGCCCCGAAAAGGTCACCTTCAGAGGCCAAAGCATCTTTGCTCCAGGTAGGTTTCGGCACCTGCTCCGAACCACATTTTTGTGTCTTTGTGTGTGTTTGTGACACACTCAAGGGAGGTTTCTCTGGTTTGCAGCAGAAATTGGGCAATTTCTAAAATAAAATTATCCGCAACTCCTCTGTGTGTGCATTAGTCAGGAAGAAGAACCGGTTTTGCAAGAGACAAATGTCAATTTAAATATAATCTTATGTCTCACAACCACAACCACCCTTCTTTCAAAACTAGGCTGTTTCTCTGTCCAGAAAAGGTGGATTTTGCAATCGGGATAAATATACTGATTTCAGGATAAATATACGTCTGATTGCACAAGTTTGGGCCCCAAAGAGGAGATGTTTTATTATACAAAATATATAATATCGGTGTCTGCTCCTAACCTGTGGAACTCCCTGCCAAAGGAAACCAGAAATACTTGCTGTGTCCTTCTTTCTACAAGGAAAAAAAAACCCTTTTGGAAATAAAATCCATCAGGCTTTCTGGAAAAAAAATGTATTTAAAGACTTTTATTTAGATGTTGTTTAAAAAAAATGTTGTTGTTGTTGTTGTGTGCCTTCAAGACGTTTCTGACTCATGGCTATCTTGGAGTTTTTCCTGGCAAGGTTTCTTCAGAGGAGGAGGTTGGCTATTGCCTTCCTCTGAGGCTGAGAGAGTGTGACTCACCCAGTGGGTTCCATGGCCGAGCCGGGATTCGAACTCTGATCTCCAGAGTCATAGTCCGGCACTCAAACCAATGACGCCACACCGGCTCCTAACCATGCTTTCTTGGAAATCAACTGCTGGCTCTCCTGCAATAATCCTTAAAAGTAGTAGAGATGTGGCTATTGTTATTTAATTGTAATTAACAGCTGCAGTAAGCTTCCTTCTTTCCTCTCTCTTTCTCTTCCTCCGGGTTTTTCTCTTGCAACCAGAGACAAGCCCTGCAAAGCATAAGGCCGGAGCCGGGCAAGCGTCCACCAAGAAACGGCAACCGGGGGAATCGCTCATTAACCCTGGATTTAAAAGGTAAAAGTTTCCCCCCTAAAATTTCCCCTCCGAAATTTGGGAACATCAGAGCACCAAAGCATCCTGCAAGGCAGGAATCCCCAAAGGCTCCATTTTGCAAAGCCAAGCAAGAGGACCTCATTGTCTTAGAGTCCGGGGATAGGCAACCTTTTTTCCCCTTTAAGGGCCAAGGAGGGACTTCAGCTCCCAGAATCCCAGGAGCTATTGGCCAACATGGCTGAGGCTTCTGGGAGTTGAAGTCCCTCAGCCCTTAAAGGGGAAGGGTTGCCTATCCCTATCTTAGAGAGAGTCTGCTGCTTTGTGCTCGTCGTTACACAAAGCAATGGACTGCATAGGTTCCTGGAGACATTTTCCTATTTTCTGGTTGCTCATGAATGTCAAACACTCAGGTTTTTGTGACATTTTGTTGGGTGTCTGCAATGCACTCCCGCTGCGTTGTTGTGTCCTTAGTGCAGTGCCACTGTCTTGTGGGATCTGTAGTGACATTGCACTAAGGACACAACAACGCGGTGCCCTTGCACTAGGGGTGGCATTGCACTGTATTGTGCCACTGTATTGTGCTGCCCATAGTGCAAGGCCACTGCGTTGTTGTGCCCATAGCACAATGCTACTGTGCTGTTGTGCTCTTAGCAAAATGTCGCTGCATCGTCATGCCTATAGTGCAATGCCACTGCATTTTTGTGCCCTTAGCACAATGCCACTGAGTTTTTGTGCCCCTAGCACAATGTCACTATGTTGTTGTACCCTTAGCACAATTCTAGTGCTGTTGTGCTCTTAGCAAAATGTTGCTGCATTGTTGTGCCCATTGCACAAGGCCACTCCATTTTTGTGCCCTTAGCACAACGTCACTGTGTTGTTGTGCCCTAGTGCAATGCCACTACATTGCTGTGCCCATAGTGCAATACCATTACATTTTGGTGCCCTTAGCGCAATGCCACTGCGTTGTTGTGCCTTTAGCAAAATACCGCTGCGTTGTTGTGCCCTTAGTGCAATGCCACTGCGTTGTTGTGCCTATGGCACAATGCGACTGCGTTGTTGTGCTCTTAGCAAAATACCTCTGCGTTGTTGTGCCCATTGTGCAATGCTGCTGTATTTTTGTGCCCTTAGCACAGCATCCCTGTCTTGTTGTGCCCTTAGCGCAATGCCACTGCGTTGTGTTGACGACCCTTTCTCTGTGTTTTGCTCCAGTAAGAAGACCCCAAGAGGAGTGGATTTTGAAGACCCTTGACTTTGTTCCAAAAGGTCCACTTCTTGGATTGATTTTAACAAGCTCTTTTCAAATATTTATGAGTAAATGAATTTTTAAAAACGCTTGCACATAGCAGAGCACATCTGTGGCCTGTTGCTGTCTTTTAAAGTCAAGGTTTTCCCCCCATTTTGGAAGAAACTGGGTCTCAAGAGAAAAATGTCACAGGACAGCCTCCGTCCCTTTTAAAATGAAACAAATAAAGCTAATTTTATAAATATTTTTCTCATCTCAGTTTTGCTTCCTCGACCAAACGCTTGGCTGCCCTCTAACGGCTGCAAGAAGAAATCAGCTAAAGGCCTTGTGTTTCGAGTTTTCAACTATATGACTCTGGAGACCTGGGTTCGAATCCTGGCTCGGCCATGCAATCCCCTGGGTGGGCAGGTCACACTCTCTCAGCCTCAGAGTATTGCAATAGCAAACCCTCTTTGAAGAAACTTGCCAAGAAAACCCCACGATAGTTTCTCCTTGGGGTCTCCATAAGTCAGAAACGACTTGACCACTGAAAAGAAAACCGGGGAAAAACCATGTTTTGAAAGATGCCCCTGGGAAGTATAGGAATGACTTGTTTATTTATTTATGTATTTATTTATTTTTTAAAAAGTAATGGTATCATCTGGTAGAAGAGTTATGTGTCGCTCCTCAACCTTTTCCTCAACCATTGCGTGATCCATGAGGAAGTGAGCAAATGGCGCCAGGGAAAAAATGGCGCCAGGGAGGGCATGGCGGACCAAGACCAGGTGACCTCCTTTGGCCTCCGCCTGGGACAGTCTCTCTCTGGTCAGCGGCAGGAGACCCGGATCCACTGGCCAGCGGTCAAGAGGCCATGGGCTACTGCAACGGCCGGACCACTCCGCGGTAGGCCTGGATGATCTCCTCACCGTTGGGACAGGTGTACTTGAACTCCTTCGCCTCGGCGGCACTCTCCAGGTAACGCCAGACGCCACGCAGCTCCTTGGGGACCCCCCATTGGCGGTAATGTTGGCACACGACCTGCAGCGGAAGAGCCAAAGTCAACGGAGAAGTTGGCAACCGCCCGGTTGGTCAGCCTTTGAGCCAACGCAGCAGGAGGAGCGCGGAGGACATTTGCCATGATCTGTCCTCACACTGGGAAAGAAACTGTGAATTTACCTGTCGAGATGCCCAGCCAAAGACCCATGGCTTCCAATAATAATAATAATAATAATAATAATAATATAGGAGAGCATGGGTATGGGTTTGCAGGAATTAAGCAGAGCAGTGGAGGACAGGGGGTCTTAGAGACAGGTCATCCATAGGGTCACCATAGGTCAAAATCAACTCAAGGGAAGTTAACAAAATAATAATAATAATAATAATAATAATAATAATAATAATAATAATAATAATAATGACAACAACAACAACAACAAGAAGTCATGGGTATGGGTTTGCAGGAATTAAGCAGAGCAGTGGAGGATAGGGGGTCTTGGTGATGTCTCATCCATGGGGTTGGCTTGAGTGCAATTAACAAAATAATAACAGTAATAGTAATAGTAATAGTAATAATAATAAAAATAAAAATAATAAAAAATATAGGTGGTCATGGGTATCAGTTTGAAGGATTTAAGGAGAGCAGTGGAGGACAGGGGGTCTTGGAGACATCTCATCTATAAGGGCACCATGAGTCGAGATTGACTCAAGGGCAATTAACAAAATAACAAACAAACAAACAAATAAATAAATAAAACGGTCCCTCCACATTCACTGGGTTAGGGGTGAAGGACCCCCCATTAATGTGGAAAATAAATGAATATACCCCTATTCTTTTTCCCTTTCTAGGAATCTCCAGGTCCTCCAGTGCAACTCTATGGTCAATTTCCAGCAGAATTGTGTTGGAGGACTTTGATATTCCTAGAGAGAACGTATTAATCCAAACCGCAAATGATCAAATCTGCAAAAGTCAAAGCCTCAAATGTGGAGGGCCAACTGTAATCATCACCATCATCATCATCATCATCATCACCATCACCATCATCACCATCATCATCATCATCACCATCATCATCACCATCATCACCATCATCATCATCATCACCATCACCATCATCACCATCATCACCATCATCACCATCATCATCATCATCATCATCACCATCATCATCACCATCTCCTTCACATTTGCCCCGGGGCGGTCAGCCCATGGTCTCGGGTCAAGGCTGAAGGTCTTACGTGGACGATGTTGAGTTTGGGCAAGAGTCCGCAGTCGGCCAGGGTCATCTGGTCTCCGTCCAGGAACCGCCGCCGGGAGACGGTCAGGCTGGGGTCGCGGACCAATTCATAGTCCAAGGGGGCGGTCAAGTAGCTGTCCAGCTTGAGGAGGGCCTTCAGGAGGTTCTTCTGCAAGACTGGAAGAGAAAGACCCAAGATTTGGGGATGTAGAGAAACGGCTAAAATCCCCAGGCCAGGACAAAGTTGGACCCAAATCCCCCCCACCTCCGCAGATGTCCACCTTCTTCTGGTGTGACCTCCAAGAAGAGTGACCAGAAGGCCACCTTAGACCTTTGGAGACCTTAGAAAGTGGTCCAAGACCGAACTCTGTATCCTCCCTTCCCTTGGGTCCCAGCCATAGAAATAAAGCAAATAAATGATGAACGCATATGCTAGGCTACAAGATGGTCTCATGGGTCAGTAGCCGAGGGCAGGCTTTTGAGGCCAAAATCAGGGACTTTGAAATGACCCATGGATAGGTCAAGGGCAAAACCATTTGACAAAGGATGCAAACGATGGTGCAAAGGAAAAGGATGCCAAAGAACCGAGGAAATTCTGGCAGGAAGAACCATTTGCAGTCATCCTAAAGGCTGGATGGATGGCTACAGGGGATCCGTGCCACTTTTTGGGTCCCCATATTATTATTATTATTATTATTATTATTATTATTATTATTATTATTATTATTATTATTATTATTATATAAATGGACATAAATTTTCTCAGCCCTTTACTACTCTCCTTTAGGAAAGATCAAGTTGCAAATATAAGCTATTATTATTATTATTATTATTATTATTATTATTATTATTATGGCCATAAAGAGTGCTAATAATAATAATAATAATAATAATAATAATAATAATAATAATAAGTGGTAAATTATCCTAGCCCTTTACTACTCTCTTTTAGGAAAGATCAAGTTGCAAATATAAATTATTATTATTATTATTATTAATATTAATTATTTTGTATAGAGTCATAAATATTCTTGGCCCTTTATTACTCTCTTTTAGGAAAGATCAAGTTGCAAATATAAGATATTATTATTATTATTATTATTATTATTATTATTATTATTATTATTATTATTATTATTATTTGGCCATAAATTCTCCTGGCCTTTTACTACTCTCTTTTGGGAAAGATCTGCAAATATAAGCTATTATTATTATTATTATTATTATTATTATTATTATTTTGTATAGCGACATACATTTTCCTAGCCTTTTACTACTCTCTTTTGGGAATGATCAACTTGTAAATATA